GGACTTTCGCCAACCAGTGAAATGGTCCCCTTGTTTCCTTAGTTTAGGCTATGACATAGTGTGGTGGGAAAAGTCAATGGGATTTCCCAAGAGGGTAATAAAGAAAAAGGGTGAGGGAGGGAAAGGGGCAGGACACTAGAAAGGAAAATAAAAGAAGTAAGCTCTAAGAAGAAACACTAGTATTTCAACAGGCATAGAACCTGTGGTCTCAAACGACATGCCCCACAGCAGACTTGGCCCAGCTTTCACCCAGTTGCTGATTCCAAGACAAGCTGGAAGGCAAGAGGCCCATATGGGGACAGCCAAGGTTCAACTCGTGGGTATGAACCCCAACCCACACCCCACTGCTCCCAGTCCCTGCTGCCCAGTGCCCAGGAGGCGAACGTTGTAATGCTGCAGGACTAACACAATAATGCTGACAGAGCTGGAGACCCAAGAGCTCACTTCGCTGGCTTCCTGGTGGTTGCTGCCCCCTACTGACAGAGCAGGACCATAACAGCCCAAGAAGCCCATCTCCCTGCCACATGCAAGGCAGAGTAAGGAAGAATACAAAAATCATATCCAAATAGGGAAATCCAACCTTCAGTGGGATCTTTATAAAGGGCCTCCTGGTTTGGCACAAGATGGGAAGAGGGCTCCCTTCGTGAATTTCATTGCATTATGAAGCTTCAGAGAACTGCTAACATGGATCACTGACCTGGCATTGTGCTGAACACATCTAGATTTTCTCATCATACAGGTCATAAAATTGAAGCATAAATTTGAAAACCACCCCCTGGAGATGTCGAGTTTCCAGGACCATAGATACAGATCCTTATCTCCTAACTGCAGTATTAACAAAGTATAGATTTTCCTAGACCTACAATGGAGGGTACATCCTGACAAACCCATCATAAGTAGAAAATATTCTAAGTGAAAAATGCACTTAATACACTTAACTGATTGAACATCATAGCTTAGCCTAAACTACCTTAAATGTGCTCAGAACACTTACATTAGCCTACAATTGGGCAAAAACATCTAACACAAGACTATTTTATAATAAAATGTTAAATGCCTCATGTAGTTTATTGAATACTGTTGTTGTTTAGTCACTAAGTCATGTCCAACTCTTTCCAACTCCATGGACTGTAGTCTGCCACTCTTCTATCCATGGATTACCCAGGCAAGGATATTGGAGTGGGTTACCATTTCCTTATCCAGGGGATATTCCCGACCTAGGGACTGAACCCACATCTCCTGCATTGCATGCGGATTCTTACCCCTGAGCCACCAGGGAAGCCCCTATTGAATACTGTACTGAAAGTGGAAAACAGAATGCCTGTATGAGTATAGAATGGTTCTATGTGTATCAGTTGTCTACCCTCATGATCATGCAGCTGACTGGGAACTACAGCTTGTGGTCACTGTCCAGCATCACACCACTAACCCCAGGGAAAAAAAATCAGCAAAATTCAAAACTTGAAGTACAGTTTCTACTGAATGTGTATAGCTTTCTCATCATTGTAGTCAAAAAATCAAATAAAATTATTGTAGGTCAGGGACCACCTATAACCTGCTATAGATTTGGATCACGGCAGGGAGACACAAAAGCACATTTATTAGGTGATGGGTGCCAGGGAGACTGAGGCCCCATTGCTCACTTGAGGAGGCCATAACTCACAAGTCATTATCACTATGACCATGATGTAATATGGTACAAAAATGGAGAAGGCTCCAGATCCCCATAACTTCACCATCTCTTGCTTAATTTCCTTTGACCATCCTGACAGTTCCCAGCTTTTTGTCTTCCCAGTAAAACTTCCTAAGAGTTGACTACACTATTCCCTCTACTTTCTCACCTCTAATTCCTTTTGGCACCTTCACTCAAAGGCTGAAGAGTTTGGACTTGAGAGCAAAGCTGCTCACTTCCTGCTGTGTGGCCTGGTTCCTAACAGACCACAGACCGATACTGGTCCATGGCCCAGGGGTTGGGGACCCCTGCTCTAAAGTCCAACTGCCTCCATTACCTTCTATAAGGATAAGTGCAAAGGACTGGGCACCCCTACTGTGCCTGTATTCTCATCTATGAAAAGGCAATAGTGGTGATATCTACCCTTTAATGTGGTCATGGTGCTACATGGGTCAATGCATATGCCTGGTACGTGGGACACACAGTGCAATCCACTACTCTTGCAATAGGGCTGGGGGCACATTTGCCCTGCTCAACCATTAGCATTAACCCTCCTGTTCTCTCTCCACTATTGCCTCATCTAGTAGGTGATCTTGCACAGAGAAACTGGTAGGCATGGCCAGCCCTTCTTTTGGGGGCTCCTTTGCATGAGGAGCCTTACAGGTCCCTCACTGCCACAGACTGCATAGGGAAGCAGGACCCTGGACCCACTTGGCCAAGGACACAGGCCATATACTCAGAGCAGCTTTTCCAGTGATAAAGCAAGTATTTGGCACCCAACTACCTTATTGCATTTATTTCTCAATTAAGAAGTCAGGTCAGGAAAGGCAGTCTCACACCTGGACAATCTTGTCAAAGGGTACATGGTGGCTCCTAATGGCCCATCTACCATCTAAGATCACCAGGGTCACTCCTCTGCCCTCCTGTCCCTTTAACTGCTGGCCTTCACCTTGCCCCTTAAAGGTCAAGGCCTCCTTGACCCTCCTCCCTGTTAACATCTTCTCCATCCCTCAGTTGACTTGGTCCTCAGCTGGTTATAAATGCAGGCTCACCTCTGGTAGGGCTCAGTTGAAAGCCTTCACTCCACCTCCGCAGCCTTTGAAGTTCTTTTTTTTTTTTTTTTCTGTGACCCAAATGTCCTTCTTTTTTTTTTTTTTTTAATTTTTATTTTTATTTTTTATTTTTTTTTCATTTATTTTTATTAGTTGGAGGCTAATTACTTTACATCATTGCAGTGGTTTTTGTCATACATTGAAATGAATTAGCCATGGATTTACTGAAGTTCTTATCTTTTCCCCAACCTGACTCCACCGGATATTTCACAGGCTGCCGGTCCAAACGTACTCAAACTCCTCCTGATCCACAACAGGTCAAGCCCTGACTTCCTTTTACCTATGTTAAATTTTAATTTCAGACAATTGACAACACGTATGTCCTAAACACTTCAGGGAAGCAAAAATACTGTCTTATCTGGAACTCAAGTTTAACTGGGCACCCTGTATATTTGCTAAATGCCATAATCCTACTTGTCGCTCCCCTTTATTTATGCTCATGTCCAGGATTGGCAGCACCATCTCATCTATACCACCAGTGGCTGACACACCCACTCCACCCTGCAGAGAGCCCTTCCTGGCTTGCAGATTGGTGGTTGTGGGGGGTGGGGGAGAGTGTTGCCAGACACCACTAACCCGGTGTGCATTCACCCCAGCCCTGTGGCCATAAGCCTTCCCTCCTCTCGTGGCTGGAAGTTTGATCATTCTCATCCTTCACCTCCCAAGAGGCCTTCCCTGACTACTCCATCAAAATGCACCTTGCTTTACCCTGCTCCTCCTTTCTCTCCATCTTCACCCCTTTCTCCTCTTCCCTCCCCTGAAAGGGACAATAAACATTACTGTTACATAAACTATTTTATTTAAATAAAATCAGGGGCAGACCCTTTCCCCCCATACACACAGGCACATGCATGCACGCACGCACGCCCACGTCCTCCTCCATTTTCCCTCCACCATGGCCACCTCAAACCTGGCAGTTCTCATCATGACCATCCTGTTTTAACCCTGGGACAGGGAGACAACCTCAATTTGAAGGCCTGCTCCCCACCCCCCACCCCCCCTAGTTGATGGCAGCAGCACACAGGCCTAGGCACAAATTCTCCTGTCCAGAGTCCAGCTCTCAGCCCTCCTGGGGTGGGACAGGAGGATCGGTTCCCCAAGGCACCCAGATCCAGTGTAGCTTCCCTGCCTTTCCCCCACACAGCATGGGAGTGCCATCAGACACCTGGAACTGCTCCCTATGGAGGGTGGGTGCCCTCACCGCAGGCCAACCCTGCCCTGTATCAGCAGAGGTTCTGCAGCCAAACCTGAGCATCCCCCAAGAGATCCTGGACTAGGTATGGTTTGGTTTTGGGAAGAGTGAGGGAGAGCAATTGAGCACCAAATTCCCTAACTCCACCCTGTAGAAGAATGCTGAAATTTGGCTCAGCATCCTCTACCCAGAAAAAGTAAACAGACCTAACTCCACAGCAGAAATGGGAAGAGCTTCAGCCGTCAGAACCTCACTACATCTCCACCCCCCAACATGGACCCACTAGCACCTTGGCAATGTTGGACACAGCCCAGCTGGGGAAATGCAACGCACACAGAAGCCTGTTTGGAGTTGGTAGTGTCCCCTCTGTTGACAATGGGATTGGGCTTCACCTTCCCTGACACCAGTATCCCTCAAGTCCTGCTTTGAGGCACAGGTGGCTTCGGTCATGAGGAGGGAGTACTGAAGGGATGGGTGGTGTCTTCCAGAGGCACACAGTCCTGCAGCACTTCTTACATGTTACCCACGAGCAGGTTGGGACAGAGGATGGGCTGCTGGGCTGCTGGAGGGTTCCGCAGCATCCCACGAACCACCTGGGAGATGAGTAGGTGGGAGGGAGACCCATCCATTCACTCAAGCTGGGGGGACCAAGATGCTGGGACCCAGATCCAGTGCCCACCTTCTCTGATGCTTTCCCTGTGCCGCCCAGACAAATTTCCCTGAGGGGAAAAACCAGACAGAAGTCAGAAAGAGGGCAGCAGACAGACAGACTATGAAGGACCAACACAGGGAAAGGAGATGTCAGAGCCAAAGGTAAGCCTTCTGAAAGGGTAAGGCAAAGAGAGCTGCCACCTGTGGGGGGCAGGGCCAGGTGAGAAAGCCAGGACATATACAACAGACTCAAGACACAGCCAACCTGCCCTCTCTGAAGGAAGCAAGGACCCGAGGAGAGGGAGCTAGGAACCTGCAGGGCCCTCCTTGGGCCAGTGGTGGTATGAATGCATCAGCTACCCTGAGCACGGGGTTACAGGCTGATACTGCGCTGGTGGCGACCTCCACGACCCCCACTCCGAGGTCCCAGCTCCTGGCCATCTAGACTGGTGTGGTCCGAGAGACCCCGCAGGTGCTCCACGGAATCGCACTTCTGCAGGTCCGAAGCCACAGTGCGCAGGCTCAGCAGGCTCAGCGTGTCGGTGTCTGGGGCAGGGCCAGGCCCCAGGCTGACGCCTTCCTCCAGCCCTCCACCCTCCGCCCCCTCAATGATCCCGCTGTCCGCATCCTCGCCACCATCAGGCCCAGCTTCCGCCCCCACTGGAGAGGAGCGCCTCTGGCCCAGGCTATGAGCAGGCTGGCCCCGGCGCCGCGCATGAATCTGCTCGCTGATTTGCTCCAGGTTGCGCAGGGCGACTGAGTAACGGGTCTTGGCCTGGGCCACCTGCTGCTCCAGCTCCGTCACCTTGGCCTTGTGCTCCTGCAGAAGGAGGGTCAGAGTCAGGTGACTCTTTGGGCAACTGTCTGAGGCCCCTGGAGCTGCCAAGTCCTCTCAAACCCACTGAGATGTCCCGTTCCCAATCTGGGCTCTGCTCATCCCCAACCATTCATCTGCAGTGCAGAACCAACCCTACCCAGCCCCTCTCCACTCCTCTTTTTCCTGGGATCCTCCTTCCCCAGCAACCTGCCCTGGTCCTGCCTGACATTCCAGGGCCTTCCTCCTAGGTCTTCATTCCCACCCACTGTTTCTCCTCTTCCCATTGTTCCCTTTCCCTATCTGGCCAATTCTTCACTCCCCATTCTCTCTGGTTTCCCCCAATTCTCACTTCTCCTTTACCTCCCTTCTCTGTCAGCATCCATTCTCCAACCCCAACTCCCATTCCTGTGGAGTCATTCTGAATACCTGTCCCACTACACGGGCCTGGTGGATGGCGCAGAGAAACAGACTAGTGTTCCCTCTACCTGCCCTCCCTTCCTAGCCTGTCCCCTCTCCCATCCTTCCCCCGACCTCCACCCCCATCCCCCACTCAGCTACCTCCAGGATCTGGCTGAACTGGGCCTTGAGCTCAAAGTAGGGCCGGCTCTTGCCAATGGCACGGCGGAGGGTCTTCTGCAGGGCCTGAACCCGAGCCTCGGCCTGCTGGCACAGCCGCGTCACCCGCTGGTGCTCCCGCTCACCACGAAGCCGCTCTTCCTCTGCCTCGTTCACCTGGGCCAAGTGGGGCGGAGCACACACATCACTGAACACAGACCCACACTCCTGCCCCGTCTTGTCACTCCAAATGTTAAACTGTCTACAGAGCCCAGAGACGGCACTGAGCTGCCAAGCCACAAGAGAACCGTGGGTCCTTGCGCCTGCCTACTGTTACCCGCACCACCCGCCACCTCTCAGCTTTGTTGCTGCCAGGAGGTGCTGAGGTCCTCTAGCCTGCTCACGAGCGTGCAGGAAATGTCCATCCATCTGTGACACATCTGCCACATCATGGTTCTCAGAGCTCAACCTTGGGAGTTGGGGGGAGGGAGGAGCCTCACTGGGAGAGCCACAGCTCTGCACTGGGTTCTCTAGGTTTCCATGTCCAAGCAGCTAACAGGCAAGGGCTCCAGCCACCGCATCCACCAAGACCAAGGAGTCGACCTCACACACACCCAGACTCAGCAACCCCTCCCCCAGGGCTGTGTGAGTTCCAGAGGAGTGGAACTCCTGCCCTCATGTGACCCATGGGCCTGGACTAAGGAGGAGCACACAAAAAAGCTTGAGACATGATCACTCATCAGGAGCTGACACTCCTACAAAATAAATGATTGTGTCCCCTCAAACTTTTTTTTTTAAGGTGTTTTGTTTTTTAAATGTGGACCATTTTTAAAGTCTTTATTGAATTTGTTGCATTGTTTTATCTTTGGTTTTTTTGGCCACCAGCCATGTGGGATCTTAGCTCCCTCCACCAGGGATCAAACCCACACCTTCTGCACTGGTGAAATCTTAACCACCAGAGAAGTACATGCCCCACCCCATCCCCCTGCAAAAAAAAATTCTTGTGTTGAAATCCTAACCTTAATGTGGGCCCTCTAAGAAGTGATTAGCTCAAGAGCAGGGAGCTCTCACTAATGAAATTATCTGCCTTATAAATGAGGCTTCAGAGCTCCCCCAGTCCTTTAGCCATGTAATAATACAGTGAAAAGACAGCTGGCCGTATGGGAAGCAAGAAGCAGGCCCTCAGCAAACACCAAATCTGCCTGTGCCTTGATCTTGAAATGTCCTAGCCTCCAGAAAATAAACTTTTGATGTTTAAGCCACCCAGTCTGTCATTTTGTAGTAAAGCCAATGGACTAAGACACTTGCTCTTTACAAGGTGAAGGTGGGAGACTAGAGCTGATGCCAGGGATCCTCCCACTCCCCAACCCCCACAAAAGCAACGCCAAAGTCTCTCAGTCATGTCCAACTTCAGGCCAGAATACTGGAGTGGGTGGCCTTTCCCTTCTCCAGAGGATCTTCCCAACCCAGGTATTGAACCTAGGTCTCCCACATCACAGGTAGATTCTTTACCACTTGAGCCACAAGGGAATCCCCATAGAAAAGACTGGAAATAATACACAGGGTATACTTCAAAAACCAAGGTACACTGGCAGAGCTCAAAAGCAAGAAAGGAAGAACATTCAGAAAATAGAAACAAAGGGTCACAGCTAAATATAACAAAGGAGAGTTGAATCCAGAGCATTCAGGAATGAACTACTTGAGTCACTCCCACATCTGGAGGCAAAGATTCAAGAAGAGCCAAGAAGGACCTTCTACGTCAAAAGGAAGTATATATGGGACACTCTGGAGGCCAAATAGGGCAGAGAGCTAGGACCAGACTTTTCCTGAAACAGAATCAAAACTGAGGGAAGGCAGGAGCAGAAGAGAGACAGAAAGGAGTGAGGAAGATGACAGGATTCAGGGAGAGCAAAGTATTAGAACTGGCGGAAGGGACCAGCCACTGCCTGGCTCACCTTGCAGGTGGCGTGGTTGAGCATCTCCTGCCATGTGGGGTCCAGCCGGTTCTTGTCAGCCATGACGCCCTGCTCAGCCACAAACACCATCTCCCGGGCAGCGTTGTGCATGCTCACAGCCCGCTCATACCGCAGAGCTGCCTTCTGTGTCTCCTGCTGGGCCTGGGGGGGGGGTGGGGGGGTGGGGAAGGACCACCAGGAGAGTGAGCTGCAAAGGACCCCTGGCTGCCCACGGAGACCCTCCCTGGGCAAGGACGAGAGAAGGAAAAAGGCCCACTGTAATGCTGGCTTCACCTCGCAACTGCACTAAGGATAAGTGCTGAGGAAGCAAAATTCTACAAAGAATATGTTGCAAGGGTATAGCTAAGAGAAGAAATACATGTAGAAATAGGACACTGCCAGTGGAGGGCAAAGTGTATAAAATCCAGCACTCTCCAAGGCTGCTGGACTTTTGCCCTCGGGAAAACAAGGAAAAATCCACACCTTTTAGTTGGAAGGTGTTTAGTTGATGGTTGAGACCATCAGCTCCAGTCCAGCAGGTAAGCTGAATGAAGTAACCAGACAACTGCTTGGAGATATTCATCATAACCATAGTTACCAAACAAAATACTAGAAACAAACCTAAGTTTTCAGTTACAGAAAACTGGTTAAACAAATAATAGTACATCTTACATAAGAAAATCATATAAGTTCCTAAAAACAATGGCATGGATGGGTAATTCTTGATATGGAACCATGTCCTCAAATAATAAAGAGATAAAAACACTACATGTGTGATTCCATTTTGGCAGGATATATTAAAAAAAATTTTTTTTAGAGATTATTTGTGCTGTATTAATCACATTTTTATTTTCTATGTTTCATGATGTTTTGGTATCTTGGAGGCCTTGCTGGCCCTTCTAGGGCTGCCTAATTTCTAGAGACAGTGAACTACTCTACGAGCACACCTTTTATATGTAAGTCCACCAATCTGAAGCCCATCACCTCCTTTATCTAACTCTCTTAAGCCAGTATGTCCCCTGCTCTAAATCACTGAAAGGCTAGGTACCAGAAAACTAGAGACCTTCCCCATAGCCCAGAGCCTGCCTCTGTTATTCAAACTGGCCAATCCTAAATTTGCTCAAAGTTGTCTACCCTGTCTTACCCACTCCTTCCCATGAAAACAACAATAAAGGCTCTACAATAAAAGCTCTGAAATAAGCTTTCCCCTCACATTTTCTGCCTCCTCACCCATTCAGGTGCTTCCCCATGTAGTCCTGAATAATCTGACAGGCTCTATTCCCTTAGGAACTAAGTAACAAACTTTTTTAAGGCAGTTGTCTGTGTCTGTCACCTTCATACTTGACTAAAACAACTTTCAGGTACAAAAATCACAAAACATGCATGAGGTTGCATCTGGGGAAGATTCTGGTTCTCTTATCTTGTTTTATAGTTACAAGTTACACTTACAGCCTTCTAATAGTGACACCATATTATTTATATAAAGAAAAATTTTAAAAGAAGGAAAGGACATAAACGAGTAGAGAAGCAAGCAAAGAGGGCATGAATCAAAGGGGATACAAGAGGAAAAGATAACTAGAAAAGGTGATCTGTCTCACACCCCATACAGAGACAGAAGACTACAGGGCCAGGCTCTGCATGCAGCCCCCCACCCCAGAATGTGGGTGAGCTGGCCGTACCTCCTTAGCCAGCCGCCGAGCTTCATAGTAGGGCCGGGCCTTCTCAATGCAGCTCCCTAAGTGGGAGCCCTGCGTGTTGAGCTTCCTTGCTGACTCCTGCAGGATCCTCCGGTAGGTGGTTCTGGCCTCCTGGCAAACGGATAGGGACACGGGCAGCGGGAGGCACAAGTGTGGGTCCTAACCCCTCTTGTTTTTCATACATGCCCCTTCCCCTGCCACTGTACTGAAAGAGGACAGAAAATGATGAAAGCACCTCTGGAACCAGCCCAAGAGTGTGAGGAAAAGGAGCATCACTCACATCCAGCTGCAGCTCCACTTGGTTGATTTCCTCACTGGCCTGGTTCAGATGCTCCAGCTCCTCCTGACACAGAGAGAGGCAGAAAGTTAGAGCAGCGGAGGAAAGCAGCCTCATATGAACCAGGCAGGGCAGGAACGTGGGCACAGAGGGAAAGCCCAGCCAAGTAGTGAAGGGAAGAAATGGAACAGGAGGTCACTGTCAAATGCCTTCTTGTCAGAGATCTAGTAACATACAGCCTCTTGTAATCTCACAATTCCACCTCTGTATCAAGTAGTAAACCCCCATTTTAAGGACAAGAGAATTGAGGTTGGAAAACTCCAACGCACACAACACAGTGGCAACAAGTCTGTTGCCATCAGACTGCACCACCACCTCCTTCTCATACTCCAGCCAGGAGTCTCCTCAGAGCTAACGGTCTCTGTCCCAAGCAAGGAGAAACCCCTGGGCCCTACTCACCCGGCATATTTTTATTACACACTTAGACACTCAGCACCATGAAACCTAGAATTCAGAACACAAAGATGCAGCAGCTCACAGCCCAATAGTAAGCAACAGGCCCACAGGAGACGGGGGCATGATAAGGGCTGGGAATCACAGGAGAGCAGGTGACCGGGGCAGGCAAGCTGTCAGGAGAGAAGCCAGAGAGGCTGGGGCACAGGGACATGATACTCGGACTTCTCCCAACAGCAGGGGCAACCCCTCAGAGCTTGATGCCCCCGGTGGTTTAGGAAGGCAGACTTGGGCAATGTAGGGAAAGCTTGGAGGGGCCAGAGAGACAAAAGTGGAGGCTGTCTGTAGTATTTCAGGTGGGAGAGGAGAGGGCAGATCCCTGGGAAATCCAGGATGCAAAATCATTAGGACTTCGTGACAATTAAGGTCAAGATTAGGGAAGAACACGTGGTTCAAGAGACCTCTAACTGCTTGGGCAGTGGTGACAGGACCCCAGGCCCCCACAGAGTAGATCCTATGGCAAGGAGGGAGAGCCTCAGGAAGAAGTTCACCAGTCACACTGGCCTGAACGCCTCACTGGCCCCAAGCGCTGGCAAAAGACACAAAAGCCACCCGTGCCTTTCAGTGGCAGGGAGGGTGCTGGCCGTGAGTATCCTCCCCGCCCCTTGGTCAAGTTCCTGGGGCCCAGGGAGCCAACGACACTCCCGAGGAGGAGCAGTGCCTGGAGAGATGCCTGGTGCTCAGCTATAGCTTCCTCCTCCAGGAGCCCTGGACAGGCCAGCAGTAGCCAGCCTGGTGTCTGCTTGCTGCCCATGGCCAAGCCCTACATTCCACCTGCACCAGGCAGTGAGGAACACTGCCATCACTGCTCCTGCATACTTCACTTGGCCCTTTCAAAAGCCCACTATGTGATCCTTTAGTCCTTTTATTTCTGTACCTCACCTCAAGCTCTAAAAGATCTGAGTCAGCAAGTAAGAATGCAAGAAATCAAGTTATATGCTCTAATTACAGTATAAGATAGAACACAAAGGAGGAAACATACAACAAACCAGGAACAATGATATGAAAATACACATACTCACAACAATGTAGACTCTGCCTCAAAGAGGACCACAAACTTGTCTCTAAACTTTTCAGAACAGAGATATCTGACAGAAATATAATGTGAGCCTTATGTGAAATTTTTAGTTTTATAAAAGCCACATTTGTAAAAGAAAGAAAACCACCAAGATGAAATTTTAACAGTACATTTCATTTGACTCAATATATCTAAAACAATAACAGTTTCAACCTGTTATCGACATAAAATAATAATTACCAATATTGTAACTTTTTTTTTAAACCATGGCTTTGAAATCCACATGTATCTGACCTTAGAGCACACCTTAGCGTGGATAGATAGTCGCATGTGGCTCCTGTACTGGTCTGTGTAGATCTAGAAGCTAGTGCACAAGATCCACTAATTAGTCACACAACTCAGTGCTCATACGGTAACAAGTAGCCACTGTGGAAAACAGGCAGCCGGCATGGCTCAGAGAACCCCAGAGGAGGCCTAGGGCAGAGCCAACACCACCCTACACACACACAGTCTTGAGTTTCACAGGGCCTTCCTGACAAGAACGTCACTTTCAGCTAATGAGATCACCACAAAGAAATTGTCAGAAAAGACAATTCCTGTCTGGGTGAGAGGCAACTGGGCCCTCTTGGGCTCTGCTTTCTGTGGCTGGACTTGGCCCACAGAGGGTTTCAGATAAAGGGAGGAGGTGACCAGTCCTTTCAGCAGTTCCCACTGGAATACTCTCTATCTCAACCCATTCACATTTGATAGACAAAAAACAATAGGGCAGGGAATCGGGGATGGAGTTGGGACCCAGGACCTGACCTATGATCTGGCTTTCTGCTACTGTTGATTACATTCCTAGTACTACTGATGTCCTTAGATGGATGCCTCAAAGACAGAAGTACCACCACCTAAGAAAACCACCTACAGTCCTGGTAAGATAATAATAATTTGGGGGAGAAGAGAAAGAGATGGGTAAAAGGCACCTATAACGTTCCTCTGAGCGAACCAAGGTCTAAGACAGGATCCCATTTGGTTCCACAGCCCAAAGCACTCTCAGACCCTGACAAGATCATCAGAGGAGTGAATGGCAAGTCATCGTCACTGGAAAGAAAACAAAAGACTTTGGCTCTTGGTCTATAGGAGCAGGCATGTATGCCTTTCTACACTGAAACTTGTACCCATGAAGCACGTCCAGCAATTTAAAAAGGCTTCCTATTGACAAAGCTCTAACAGGACAAGGAGACTGGGGAGAGAGCAGGCTGGAGGGCAAAGGGTTAGGGGATGAGGGTAGCCAGGCTGAGGCAGACCCAGGGCAAAGTACAGCAGGAAGCCAACAAGCACCCAGAGCTCTGCTTTGGGCCACTGGCGACACATTCCATTTGGCCTGCTGCACCAGGGACTCCTGGCACCTGACTGAAATCGAATTCGAGGAGGATGAAGCCTGAGTCAGCATTCACCATCCATCAGTGAGCCTGCAGCCCGCAGGGAGGGTGACCTTCCCAGAGCACACCAGGCTGATGCCCAGGATGCCAGGCCACTGAGTCAAAGGCAGTTAGCAGACAGATGCTGTTGCCCAACTTGTGCAAGCCATTAAAACACTCAAGCCCAAAATGAAGTATAATCATATAAATTGTGTTGTACACCTGAAATTTATATAATACCCTAAATCAAATATTGATATATCTTTATTAAAAAAAAAAAAACCCAAGTCCACAGTCAGTCAGGAGGATTGGGGTGTTCCATGACCTAAAGGCTTAGAAATAAAGTAAAAATGACCTCCAGAGCAAGCTAAACTAAACATTTCAGGCAATCCAGAGATTGCAAAGTCACTCTGAGGAGGAAGAGGTGAATGAAAGCATTTACTTACCTGAGGAAAGAAATGTGTCCATCACAAAGAGGGCTGAGAAAGGTCATAGGAGAGAAGACCCAGGCCCATCCCAGTACTACCCTCCTCTATTCCTTCCTGTCAGTGGGACCCTGCCTCTCAGAAAGCTAAGGCCCAGCCTGGATGCCTCAGAAAAACTGTGTTGAGGTCAAGGCACACAGAGACATCCAGCAGACTTCCCTGGGATGCAGCACACTGGCAACCACCTGGCTTCCCTCCAACTTCCAGAAGGATTCTAGACAACTTCCAGACAAGAAGGCACAAGCTGCCTGTCTGCCAAGAATCCCCATTCCCCACGCCAGAAACAGCCTGGCCCTAAAGGACCATTTCTGGGAGTTCCAGAAAATACCTGAAGAGGGTCTCCATCTTTGGGCTATCCTTGGATCAGTGGACTCGCCCAGGCCACCAGTCATAACTTCTCACCCCAAACAAGAGAAGAATGTCTGGCCAAAGCTCAGGAACAAGTGTTTCTAAACTTCCCTGGTAGGTACTGATAGATCTGTGGGTAGAGACCCACTGAATGCACCAATCTATTTAAAGTGCTAAAACACAGCATCAGGATAACATGATCTTGCACACTGTCAACACTACAGTGTTGCCAACACTACAAAGAACAACAACACTGTAGTGTTGCCAACACTACAAAGAAACTCAAAAGACACATACCCAATGTCTTTCTCACCTAGAAGATCCCAAACCCAGATCTGAAGGCCACCAGCCTTCACCATGAAAGGCGCTCCTCACATCAAGCTGCCTCTCCCACACAGCAAGAAGACGCTGCATCTCTGCTGAGGCCAGAGAACTACACCAGTCTCATCAGCGAGGGAGGCCTCTAAAATAAGACCTTGCCTCCCTACATAACCTACAACATTCCACAACGTGCCTCTTGGTTTAGCAAGAGAGACTAAGGTCCTCCTGTCCCTCTTGCTTCATTAACACTGCAAGCTCACTGAAGGCAAGGTGAATCTTACTCTCGCTCAATATTCTCAGACCCTCACAGAGTTCACCCAATACAACTGTCGATGATGATGGAAATGTTCTACATCTGCCCTGCCAGCAACACCTGAGGAACTGCATTTTTTTTTTATTGATTCTTAACTGAATTTAAATATCCACATGCAGCTAATGACTACTTTATTGAACAGCGCAGCATGAAAGTTGCCTTTTCACACCACCACTTTTGCCTGTGTAGGCAATGGAAAAATACACAGGAGCAGAAGCGACTGAGCAAAGAAATCACAACTGATTCTCCTCTTGAGTGGAGCAAGGAATGATGCAGAGGGGAATATGAAGGATATCAACAGGCCCTCCTCCCTGACAAACAGAGATCTCTTTCTCAAAGCAAGACCTACAAACTTTCATCAAAGACAGGCAAGAGAGTTTGTAAAAGAAAAGAATCACAGGACAGGGTCAGAGCAGAGCGGCAAAGAGCTGTGCAAATAAGCTAGACCAAGCTTCCATGTTACAAATGAAGAAAAGAAGGCTTGAAAAGGTTATGTAACTTACATGAAAATCACAAATCATAGGGCTAGAAGAGGCTTGAATCTCAGCCCAAGGCTTTTTTTTCACTACAACTTGTTTCCTAGGCGGACAACAAAACTATATAGAACTAGCAGGAGAAATTGAGTTGTTTTCAATGCAATGCCCATGAAACAGAGCAGAAATAAATTACTGACTCATGCCAGTAAACAAATGGTTCACCACTGCTACACTATCAGCACAGACAGTTTCCCCACACATGTCCCAGGAAACTCCACCAAGAGAAAGCAGGAAGGATGCTAGGAGTCGCTTTGAAACCTTCCTGACTCACTAAAGTAACCTAATAAAGGTCTGTTGACAGAGAAGCCCAGGAATGAGAGCGCTGGGAGGCTCTTGCTCACCTGCAGGTGTGAATCACTGCCACATCAGAATCTGTGGGATGCTACCATACCAAACAGCAGACTCAGGCCCCAAACATACAGGAGCACCCCAGCTCTCACCTGCCTAAACAGCTTCTCTCCAGGGAACTCTTCCCTGCCACTGTCCAGAAACACCACAATCCAGCCTCAGCTGGTCATGCATCTACTGCGTGTGCGGCCTGTCCTCCTCCTCCACGGCCTCCTTCACAAAGTTCTGCCCTTCTACCAACTAGTAAATGCTCCAAGGCAACAGATCAGCTCCTCCACTCGTTTGATTGACCTAGCATCCTCAAAGCAAGAAATCTGTATTATGAAGGATTGACCGCACTTGATATAACTCTCTGCACATATCAGATTTCGTTACAGGCCTAAGCCTGGTACCACCTTTGTAAGACATGAAAAGTCTCACCTTTCACAAATAAGAATGTCCCTGGGAGGCAATGATAAGAAAGCAGGAGAGGGGGAAAGATTCAAAATTGCCTCCAATCTCAAATACATCTTCTCTCACATCCCATTCCAAATATGCCAGGGGGTTGTTGAGCCCCTTGGCATATTTGGAAAAGAAACAACAGTTCTACTCTCTTCTGACCTAAAGTGTGCTTCCTACACCTACTGCCAATTTGTCACTTCAATTTATCAGTAAAGCCAGCAGCAACACATCCCAGGCACTCAGGCCCAGCCTCTCTCTGTACTCCCACCTACACAACTCTTTTAGCACTTGTGACACTACACTGCAATGATTTGTTGACAATCGTTGTTTTCCTTTCCTGCCCCAGTGCACTGGGAAAAGAGTAAGTCTAACTCATTTATCTGACAGTTCTTCAGAAAAGCTAGAATCTAATTTCCCTGTCCTCCCCCAGCTCAGTCTTCTCACCTGTATTCTAGGATCCAGTTCTTCTTCTCTTGGGGACAATTTGGCTTCACTGCTGTTGCTTCCGCCTCCTCCAGGCTCCTCTGCAACTGGGCTCCGAGGGACTTCATCCTCTACAACCTCAGGCCGAAGCTCCCCTTGTGGGGTCTCCCGCCCCCCTGGAATCTGCCTGAGTTCAGCCATGCTGGCAGGGAGAAGGCACAGCCCTAAGCATAAAAGAGGACTGACATGCTGGGACCAGGGCCCCAGCTTGGGGCTTCCTGGGCTCTGGGTGGCAAGAAGGGTTTCTCTTCTCCAAGGGTGGAAACAGGACACAAGAAGAACCTCAGACTCGGTTAGAGGCGGAGATTCAAGTGGCCAGTGGGGTCCCAAGAGCTATAGCTTTGTATATGCAAAAGTCCTTCCCTCCCCGTCACAGGGAGTCCACCAGGAGAAACCCGGAGCAATAGCTCCGAGGCGGGGGGCAAAGGGGGCCTGGATCCTGGGCCGAGGCCTGCGAGGAGGAGCACCATTCGGGAGGGCGGAGGCAGGCGCCTCCAGGCTGTGGTGGCAACTGGAGAGAGAAGGCTGGGCCTGAGCAGAGGCTGCTGGCTAAGAGTCTCTGAGGAGCTGCAGGGGAAACAATGGCCAAGTACATGGTCAGCATTCGAACGGCGGCTACCAGCCTCTTTCCACCATCCCTCAGCCTCCCAAGGACTTTACTACTTTCCTCCCACACCTCCACATTCCGACCAACCCCCTCAACTCCTTTCCCGCGTCCCAGGATCTCTGGCCCCAGCCCCTCCCCCACCAGCGCCTTCCAGACTTCCCTCCGCATCCTAATCCTCTCCATCATTTCCCCCAACCCTTCCCCAGCCCGCGTCATTCCACCCCAATCCGGCTCTGCAAATCACCTTTTAACCCCCAGCCCCACCCCACCTCCTCTTCTCTCTCCAATTCTGCGGACAACCCGAGCCTCGCATCTCCAACCCCCGTTCTTCCTAAATCACAAGGACCCTGGCTGGCCGCAAGCCTCCTACACAGCCAGGCGCAAAGCCCGCCCTCTGTTCGACTTTACCTCAGTTTACCTTCCCGTGCGCGGATCTCAGCTGCAAACAATCTTCCCCCGCCCTCCCCGCAACAAGCTGGTCCAACCAAATACAACGAGGCCGAAAGGAAGCGGAAATACATCATCCTGTAAAAAAAACGCCTTTCTCCCTCTCGCCCCTCCCTCTCACGCTCTCCTGCTAACCAGGTCACGTCTGGATTGCTCAACGCTCATCTTCTCCTGGCCTTCGGTTTCCGTACAAAATGGTGTCTCACAGCGCTGACTCTCACCTTACATTGCCTCCAGCCCGTCCTCTACCACTGATAAATGAAACTGAAATACGGGAGGGTTGTGCAGAGAAAAACTACGGAGGATAATGAAAGTCGAGAGACCCTGGTGAATAGGGAAAGGTTGGAAATTAAACGGAGATTAGACAATTGCCTCAAACAGAGTGCTGCCATCTTGCTTTACGGCGCCGTGTTCCTGCTGCACCCAAAGCCGTTTCCGGCCTCGCCCCGGAAGTCGGAAGTGGGCTGTGGGCATCCGGCAGCGGTGGCACTTGTCTGCTGAAGTCCGGCTTCAGCGGACTGTGCTCCGGGCGAGCGGGGTTGTTTTTTCAGAAATAACTCCCCTTATTCAAGTGATAGGGCTTCCCTGGTGGCTCAGATGGTAAAGAATCTCCCTGCAATGCGGGAGACCTGGGTTCAGTCCCTGGGTTGGGAAGATCCCCTGGAGAAGGGGATGGCAACCAACTCCAGTATTCTGGCCTGAAGAATTCCATGAGCTGTATATAGTCTATGGAGTCGCAAAGAGTCAGACGCGACTGAGTGACTTTCACTTTCACTTTAAGGGACTTCCCTGGTGGTCCAATGGCTAAGACACTGACCTCCCAATACAGAGGGCCCAGGTTCAATTCCTGATCAGGGAGCTAGATCCACACGCTGCAACTAAGAGTTTGGGATTCCCTGGTGTCTCAGACAGTTAAGCGTCTGCCCACAATGCGGGAGATCCCGGTTTTATCCCTGGCTTGGGCAGATCCCCTGGAGAAGGAAATGGCAACCCACTCCAGTGCTCTTGCCTAGAAAATTCCATGGATGGAGGAGCCTGGTGGGCTACAGTCCATGGGGTCGCAAAGAGTCAGACACGACTTAGTGACTTCACTCTCACTTTCTTATTCAAGTGAAGTCAGTGGTTCCCTTAGTTAGTAACAAAGTCTAAATGGCAGCTCTGATACGTAAATCTTTCTTGCCGGCGTCCTCCCCATGGCTCTGGCGCTGCACTTCGCCATCACCTCCCCGAACCAGGCTCTGTCCCACTGAACGTCGTTGCAGTGGTATCGCCGATTAATCCATGAGCACTGATTAGAAGTTTTGTCATCTGAATTCAGTGCTCTCGTGCACTCTGTTCAAAAGCCCACCAGGAAGAGGAGTTTGTTACATGGTTTTGTGTATCAGTGAAAGGACCTGACCTAAGTCACCACTTCTCAGTGTCACCAGGAGAGACCTGAAAGGAAGGCTTCAGGTTGGAAGGTTTACTTTTGCTAAAGACTTAACTTCCTCTGAAGTGAAGAAGTCAAATGGGCTGAATTTTCCGTCTTCCCTTGTGCCTCCCTCTCTCCATCCCCTCACCCCATGAATAACCATGTTAAAAAAAAAAAAATTTAAGTAGACCCAAATATATTTTTAAGTAATTTAAAAGTGATTTTCTTCCCCCCAAATTGGAAATATATTTTTTAAATTCCAGAGTTGACTTTTCTCCAGTGAATCAGTGAGACCCTAAGTAGCAATTCTAAGTAGATAAATCTGATAGATAATAATGTCCCATATCATACTCCTGTTTGTTATTAAGGTGCCATACAAAAACCATGAAAATTACAAACAGAAATCAGAAATTGTCTGCTAGTTTCTTTAATTTTGTAAAACTGGAGTTTCACTGTAATCATTCCATTTTACCTACCATCTTCTGTGTGTGCTATCTGAATTTTCTGAACCTTTCCTATTCACCACTGCTATAGTATCTATAATCTTTTTTTTTTTTATTCCAGGTATTTTTTATTTCTTCAAATTTATTTGCCAGGAGTGACTGAAATAAAAAATTAATTGGGTCCCATCGTCATCATGGAAATGGCTTTAAGAGAAAACTGGTCAGGTGAATATTATTGCTTCCCATTTTCAACCAGTAAATAGTTGCCATTGATAAATAGACAGCTAACAGTCTGTCAGGAATGCTCAAGATATGTTATATAATACAACATGCCTAGTCACAGGAGAAAAACTAGGAAATAACTTAGGTGAACTTCTTGATTTCATCATACAGGACAAGCACAAAAGCCCCGCCCATGCCTCTGAGAACATTGGACCACGCGCCTTTGAAAAAGGCTTTGGCTCCTTCATCACGAGCAATCTTCCTCCAGCAGTCAAGCGTGCCTGTGTACAAGATATCAGTTCCTTTGCGCCCTGACTGCATCATCATGCGGCGACGCACAGTGTCAAACGGATAGGAAGTCAACCCAGCAACTGCTGTGACCGACTGTGCAATCATCCAGCTGATGAAGATATGTGTGTTCTTGGGATCTGGAAGCATTCCCTTGGCAGTGTCATAGATACCGAAGTAGGCAGCTCGGTAGATGATAATACCCTGCACAGACACGTTAAAGCCTTGGTACAGGCCTCTAATCCCATCAGATTTGTAGATCTTAACCAGGCAGTCACCGAGGCCTCTGAATTCCCTTTCAGCTCCAGCTTTGCCCACGTCGGCTGCTAGACGGGTACGGGCAAAGTCGAGAGGGTACACGAAACACAGGGACGTGGCCCTGGCGGCACCACCTGATGCCAGATTCCCTGCAAAGTAGCGCCAAAACTGGGTCCTCTTGTCCACACCACCCAGGAAGATCTGCTTGTATTTATCTTTGAAGGCAAAGTTGAGAGCCTGGGTGGGGAAGTATCTGATCACATTGGCCAGGTTACCACGCCAGAAGGACAGGACTCCCTGCTCCTTGGGGATTCGAACCACGCAGTCTATGATGCCCTTGTACTGCTTATCTGCAGTGATTTGCTTGCTGGCATGCTGCACCTGCAGCAGCAGCTTCACCCGCTCGATGGGCGCGACCGCGGTCTTGGAGATGGCCGCGGCCACTCCACCTGCCAGGAAGTCCTTGGCGAAGGACACGGCGGCATCTGTCATCTTGGAAGGAAAGAGTAAGCGGACGACTGAAAGATCGGCGAGGAACCGGCTTGGACTCCGGGGCTCTAGTATCTATAATCTTTATATCTTGTCCCACAACTTCTTTTCCCTGTGTGTTCATTCCTTAGCAGTCATGAGTTTCAAGTCGTCATATATCTCTTGCGTTTGGTGGGAAAACACCTTGAACACACATAGTACCCAGACTGCCTCTAGATCACATCCTGAAGTACAGTTGCCTCCCTGATGTCTCCACTGGCCTACCCTTGGGTTAACTCTCACTCACCGGGAGCAAAAGTGATATCATGTATATGTGCGTGGTAAGTCACCTCTGACTCTGTGCTACCCTATGGACCATAGCCCACCAGGCTCCTAGGTCAGTGGAATTCTCCAGGCAAGAATACTGGAGTGGGTTGTCATGCCCTCCTCCAGAGGATCTTCCCATCCCAGGTATCGGACCGGTGTCTTGTCTCCTACTTTGGCAGGCAGGTTTTTGACCACTAGTGCCACCTGGGGAGCCCCTCATCATGTATGGATTGTAATGTAATCCGCAGAAGTTTTTCTGCTAGGTTTGGATAATGTTTCAGGTGGGAAGAGGTTAGGGAGAGCTGTGCACTGGCTTGTTTTATTGAGGCCGGTATAAACATTATGAGTTTTGTTTTGTTTTTTTTCAGAGCAGCACTATCCAATAGACCTACCTGCAGTGATGGAAATGTTTTATATTAGCTCTGTGCCATATGTAAGCTGAGCATTTGAAATGGACCTAGTATTATTAAGTAAGTGCATTTTTAAGTTTAATTTAAATAGCCATGTGTAGCTATTGTTTCCATTATTGGACAGCATAATGGACAGCACACAGTTCTAGAGCATGCCTTTCCTATGTAATCTTTTGCAGGCAGGTAGTGAACCTCTGTCTATAACAAAACAAATGTCGCTCACTCTCCACTCTCCTTTCTCTCATCTCTATTTCCTCACCTCTTGTTTATTTCTGTAGTCTGACTTCTGCTTCTGCCACAGAAATGGCAGGGATAAGCTCCGAGTATCACCAAGTGACTGACATCTGACAATGGGTTGTTACTTCTCTCTCATCCTTCTTTAGCTTCTGAGTCACCCTTGTCCTGAGTTTCCTCTTTTTCCCTGACCTATTGGTTAATTCCTTTGTATAGTATGTTTACTGAGTGTCTGCTACATGCCAGGAGTTTGTATGTAGCTTGTAGTCTGTGCTGTCATTTTATAAATTGGTGATATTCAAACTAATCAACTCAGAAATATGTTTTACCTTGCAACTTGGTGTACATATATGTATGTAAATATATTCATAACAAAACTTTCAAAAGAATTTCAGTTTTCAAAAGAAGATCTTTGTTTGCAGCTGCAATAGGTCTTTGTTGCTGCATGTAGGCTTCCTCTAGTTTTGGCAAGAAGGGGCTACTCTTCCTTCAAGTATGCAGGCTTCTCATTTCAGTGGCTTCTCTTGTTGCAGCACATGGGCTTTAGGTGCATGGGCTTCAGCAGTTGCATTACGCAGTTTCAGTAGTTGTGGCACAGGGGCCCAGTTGCCCCGTGGCAATGAGTGAGAGGAATCTTCCTAGACCAGGATTCAAACCCATGTGCTCTGCATTTGCAGGTGGACTTCCAACCACTGCACCACCAGGGAAGGCCCAGGAAAAGGTCTTTACTTAATATGCAAAGCACATTAATATTTGTTTTACTGTTTTTTTTAATGCTGGTAAAGACCTATTCTGTTAATTTCATGAGCCACTCACAGATTAAAAATCCTGCCCTAAATATCAGTTCTTCCCAGGCCCTGATACTAGCCTCTGACCTTCTTATGTCTAACTTCTCTGAAAGCCCTCACCCAAGTACATGGCTCCGATTCCTACCCCATGGCTACTGCTCCTTCCTTGCAACTCTGTCTCTACCTAGAATCCCCACAGATCAGATTCTGAGATCCAGCAGCTTCTCAGACCAATGGCCAGTCCATGGCTGCCTCTCACTCATTGCACACAGGTCTGATGCCATCCCCTTTTCCCAAATCCTGCTGCTTCTCCTATATTTAGTTGGTTGGTGCATGATTTTAATCATCAACCTATTAACTCCAAACCTAGAAGACATCCTAAATGAATCCTGCTGTCTTCACTCAGCATCACATTAAGGAGGTGAGACACCTCCTCTCCATTTCATTGCCATTACTTCAGCTTAGAACCTCCTCACCTCCCAAATAGATAATATACTCAAGAATCTTCTAAATTAACTCTATAGAATAGAGCTTGGAGCAATGATAACTAATTTCTGTATCCACACTGTTCAGTATAGTAGCCACTAGCCAGGTGAGGGGTACTTGAGAACTTAAAATGTGGCCAGTGCAACTGAGAAACTGAAATTTTAATTTAAATTTCGATAGCCATATGTGATTAGTTACTAATACACTGGACAGCACAATTTCAACATTCTCCCCATTACAAGTGTACCCCCTTCCAGTCCCTGACACAAATAACTAACCCCTGTTGTCTAATGAATGACATATAAAAATGTGAAAGTCATATAAAGATGTTAGTAATACCACCAATTACTAGGTAGTATCACAAGTCATCTCTTTCTCAATAAAATAAAGTTTTCTCATAAATTACTTTTAATTTCTTCAAATAATGTTACCTTCATGTTTAAAAACTACCCTTTTTTAGTTTGTTTTTTTCACCAATAGAAACTACCTTCTATTTTGATTTTTTCTTACTATAAGTCAAATATTTAATAAATAGCACCATCAACTGCTAATTAAATGTTTTAGTTGACTGATGTGTAGTGATAGAAAGCAGATCAGTGGTTGCCTAGGGGAGTGGTGGATTACAAAGTGGTGCACAGAAACCCGTGGGTAGTGGATGTGTTCTCTATCTTGATTGTTGTGAGGATATAATTTGTGTATATATGTATTCAGAAGTTTTCAAACCATACATTTCAATATCTGAAATTTTGTATGTCAATTATAAAGCTGGTTTTTTTTTAAAAATCTGGCTGAATACTTGCTGCTCTTAGAAATACATAGTATAGAGTCCACTAATACAGATGGATAAAAGGGAGAGCCTTTACTCAAATCCCAGAATTATTTCTACCCTTGTTAAATCTACTGGGTCTTCCAGAAGTAAATTATTTTCCCTGACTTGCTCATATAATTTGACAATAAAAACAGCAAACACTTATGCAATGTTTGTCTTGTACCAGGCACCAAGTTCTGAGTAGTTTATATCTATCTATTCATTTGATCCTCATGACAACCAACTGAGGTATGTTGTACCTCCATTTTTACACTTGAGGGACTAGAGGTTAAATAACTTGATTGAGTTTAACAGAGTTGGAGAGAACAGATTGGAAAGGCAGATTGGAACAGATAGAAAAGGGCATTAATGTCATATCAGGAGGGTAAATTTTATGTAATGGTTAATACAAACGTTTGACAGTTTTTTAGCAGGAGTATGACACAGCCAGAGATTATTTTAGGGCAATTCACCTGGCAGTTCACAGCCATATTCCACAGTGCATAGAACACCACTTGGCATATGGTAGGCCTTCCATAAATATCTTGAATATTTATGGAACCGTGTTGGGAGTTGTCCCATTTATTGATATAAATTTGTAGGTAAAGAAACATTTGGATTCAATATTTTCAAACTGACAAATATGCCCATAACTTCATTCTTGACCTTCTAACTTTCTCTCACTACACTCATTATTACAGTTCCAATTAGCATTTCCATCTATAATGACTCCCATAAGAAACAAAAATATACCTTCCTATATTTCCCTTCATTGTTTGAGTTCTTCTCTCCATAGCTGCGCAAAAGAAAGTTATGTAATCCAATTCTCTTTCATATGACGCTGTGTCAAACCTATGCACAGTCATCATGTACAGGTTTCTCTTTTCCAGGTTAAATAGTCTCAGCCCATTCAATCATGTATCTGTCACCATCCTAGTTACCCCTCTGGAACTAACCAGTGTCTCTTAAACACATGACATCAATACTGACCAGTGAGTCCAGAAATATCCTAATTAGTCCATTTCCTTGCCTTCAAAAGCTTTGGAATTATCCTCAGGTGATAAAGAATCTGTCTGCCTTTCAGGAGACCTGGGTTCAATCCAGGGGTGGGGAAGATCCCCTGGGGGAGAGCATGGCAACCCACTCCAGTTTCTTGCGTGGAGAAAATCATGGACAGAGGAACCTGGTAGACCACAGCCCATGGACTTACACAGAGTCAGACAAAAATGAAGTGACTTAGCACAGCCTGCAGTCATCCTCAATACAGTGCTACCTTAAAATGAATGGTACCTTACATCAGGCACATTTTTCACTTCTGCGTCTGCCTCCTCTATTCCTTCTGGTTCAGGTTGTCATCACCCTAGGCCTGTGTCTGTTTTCCACTTCCTTGCCTCCTGCTGCCAAACATGTACTTCGTATTCCATGCTGCTCTGCATGTATCAGCAGACATTCATTGAGTATTTGTGATGAGCAGGCCCTGTGCTCATGCTCCAGGGCACTGTTAACAAAAGCCTTTTTGTTAACTATGGGGAAGAAGAGCATTCCAGCATAGGCATCTCCAGGTTTATGGAGATGGCATATGACTAAACTTTTAAAAATGGGTGGAGTTCAAAGCAGAGTTGAATAGCATTCCAAAACTGCCAGAACCTAGGGGGAGATGCAGGGAATAGATTCTTCTGCATATCTTTCCAAAAGAACCAACCTTGCTGACATTGATCTCAGACTTCTAGACTCCAGAACTGTGAGAAAATAAATTTCCATTGCTTAAACCACTCGGTTAGTGGTACTTTGTTACAACTACCTTAGGAAACTAATACAAGCCCCAAACTAGAAACAACCCAAATGTTAATCAGCTGTATTTATTTAGTAGAACAGGTAAATAAATATGGTATAGTTACACAATGGAAAACTATACAGCAACTAAAGTGAACTAACTACAACCACACTTAACAATATGAATAAACCTTACAT